TGGTCACAAAATATTTATTAAATTGAGTGTGATGAATTCTATCATCATAGTGGGATAGCAAATATATTGTGAAAGTACAGGAAAAATAACCTACATTTTAGCTTATGATTAACACTTTTTAGTAGTATCTAAAATTCTAGTGCAATTGATTTGTAATCTGCATTTCGATAGTTTAAGAAAGTTAAACAAGCATTAACGATAGTGATAGCATTTGATTTTGACGCCATAATAAAAAAAAGCTCCATAGCGTAATTCATATATAAAAACTCAACGTAATAAGACGTAAACATCAAACAAATTGCATAAATTGCATTAGAATGGGAATAACTAATTTCTTATTTGTAATTTCCAACCGATAATGATGATTTAACGGTCGCAAACATCCGTTTTACCGGCTCTGCTTACGCGTTGCCGATAAAACTCAGTTTGGGACCGTTAAATCAGCATTAACGGTCTCAAAAAACAAATGAGCAGACAGTTATTCCCAAAATTTTCCTCAAAAACGTTTGATTTTGATTGACTTTTCAGTGGCCATATAAGGAGTACATGTGATTCGCTATTCAAGGTTGAATCTGTGAGAAAGTGGGAATATTAATTTAAGGAAAATTCTCTGTGGCCTTCAGAGTAATAAAGTGAAAATAAACAGTAATTAACACAGGAAATTCCTTATGATAGTAATCTTATTTCCTCGTTAATTTCCGACAGTAAGTGTTTGACCAAAAAATTACAGGAAACGGCACTATAACATTTTCTTCATTAACAGTCGAAAAACAAAATTCCCACCTACCACCTTCTATATATTAAATGGTAAAAAAAAAACCCTGTTCTACACAAAGAAAATCTTTCTCTACTCACTGAATTGAATACATTTCTATAAAGATGGCTGTTTTACAACAATATAATTTAATTCTGGTTGAAACGCTGTATTTGATTGGATAAAAAAATTACTTTATATCGTATAAAATTGGTTGCCTACGTCACAATGACTTGCGTCAAAAACATATCGATCCGCCTGACATTACATTCAAATTTTGTACATATTGAACTCATTTTTTAAGGACAATCATCTTTTTTTCTTACACCAAATGAATGAAAATTAAATTATAAGGAATGAATTTAATAGCTACCCATTTTATACGGTATAAACTGGATTGGAACAGTTTACGCTTTTTTATAAACCACTTCGCGGTTTATAAAGCGTAAACTGCCCCAACCCAGTTTATACCGTATAAAATGGGTAGCTATTAAATTCATTCCTTAAAGAGATTATAATAAAATTTTTGAAATCTAATGTAACATACTGGGTCATTTTATATGAATACACAGAATCTGTGTTTGTTTCCGTTTACTTTATTTTGATATTTTCTGTAAACAAAGCCGCATAAAAGATGAAATTTTTCTCTCTGTTTCAATTAATCCAATAATCTCTATTGTATGAATTGTTTGGTGTTCATTGTGCCATTCATAAATGCAAAAATAGTTAATCTTAAACCTATGCATGAATTTGATTTGAAAAAAGGGATGCTTAACAGCTTTCTTTATTTTCTTAAAAATTCCTAATTTTTTTTCAGACGCAAACAAAATCGTCAAAGTCTGTTGTACAATGACTATGATAGTACCGGTTCATATATTTCTAGGATCTTATGGCAATCATTATTTATCTGACGGGGCTGAGTGGAGTATTGTTATTATAATTTATTGTTTGTAAACATTAATTAAAAGGTTTGAGATCTGTGTACCATGTTACCTCTTTTAAAATGATTGCAATATTTAAAATATAATACATGTAAAAAGAAAAGTTATTTCCGACCAACAAAATACAAAAGGATAGGAGTGTATCAATGAGAAATGTTTTGTTGCATGAAATTAATTAAGTATTAATAGCCTACAGGAAGAATCTAATCACAAATAAGACCGATTCCAATGGAGTGCGTTTCATAGCAAACTGTCACAAATATTTCATTAACAGTTAGAAAACAAATTCCATTGGACCACGTTTAATATGTTACAATGGTCGACGTCATGATATTTTAGGTATCTCATGAAAAAATCACCCGCTACCGACTAATTTTAAATATTTCTGTAATTATGACATTTCTATAATAGCAGATAGGATAAAAAACGAAGTTTTGGAAATTTAGCATAAAATGTGAGAAACATTTTGATGAAGATGAAAATTTATGCACCAAACATTACAATGTTAAAATTATCAATCAACGATTCATAATCGGTAAATAAGAATGCATCGATGTAAAGCTTCTATACTTTATTATTATACTAAATTTTTATATATCGATTAAGATAAATCTTGATAGGATTTGTGTATCATTGGCTTTATGGCACATACCTCGTCAATCCTAAAAATCAAATTGTCCACGGACACACTACTGCAACTCGTGATGCAAAAGTGTCCTAAATTTATTTAGATAGCAAAATTAAATTATGGTTGACGTTACAGTTAGTGCAAAAGACAATTACCCTTAAGGTATAAACATAATGCTAAGAGTTGATAAACTCATCATTTTCTTAAGGTAAACAGCACTAGCCAAAATAGTTTTACTGTACTTTGGCACATTATATGACTTAGTATGAACCGTAGCTCTAGGGTCCTGGCGCTCCCAGTCATTAATTAAGAATAGTTTGACAAAGTACATTCACTTGAACTTATAGAGTTTTTCATTTGATGTTTTAATAGGCAAGAAATTAAGTGTCAAGCTGTAAGTTTATCCCTTTTCAAAGACAAATGGAGTAACATACAAATTGATTTCCATTTTGACAAGTTGTTATGCAAAAACCAAAACATATCTTAATTATTCCTATTTTATATATTGGTATAGGGTTATATTGAAATGGAATTATGATGTTGCAGCTAAAATTTTAATAGATTACACACAAATTTAACAGGATATCTCAGATATTTCTTTGAGTGTATTGAAATCAAAAGCAATATTTTTGCGTTGAATGAAACACTATAGATAGTGAATATTAATAATTCGTAAAAAGCCAAGTCAATTTACCGACAATATAGCCTTAAATTTATTGCAACGGAAATTATTTCACGATAACTGATTTCTAGCATGTACAGACATATAAGGTCAATTTCATGAAGAAAAAACATAAATTTTCGTGATTTAAATTGTTTTGTTAAAAATCTCATTCTGTTGATGCCAAAGGTAAACTTTAAGCACATTAATATACAGAATGTGTATCATACTATCATGTCTGCAGAAGTGCCCGAAGTGCCTGATTTAATTTTCTTTGCTTGATATAATAAATCAGCTTGACTTAAGAAATCATTTCCTTTCAGTTTAACTTAGTTAGGCCAGTTAATTTTAGGACAAGGGCAGTATTATATATGTCCAGAATCATTCATTTAAAGGTTTATTTATTCTACAATAAGTGGTTTTTTAACTCCATGGGTACATGTAGTAATTTGCATATAAATGCCACGTATTTCAATTCGAATATCCTCATTAAACACAAATGCCATGCAAACAAAAAATCAAGACTAGAAAAACAGTGTCAACCATTTTTTCAAGAACTTTCTAAGTACATAAGTAAATGAAATCAGCAAATTCAAAATGAATACGCTGGACAGGTACTTGTACATTATTAAATCCATACTATAACATTGATATTTTAGCTGAAAATTTTGCTTCTATCTATACTGACCTAGGGCCAATTCTAGTTCAGTACCAGTTATAAACACTGAGATGAAACTTCACATCACAAAATATCTACTGAGGTAATGATTTATTTTCTCGAAAATCATAAACAGAATCTTGTTTAGGATATATAGATAGTGCAATACATAGAGGATATTCAATGTTTTGTGGTTGGATATGGAATTTATTTCACGAGTGGGTCAGGATTTTTTGATATTTTCACGAGTGCAAAAAAAAAATCCTCTCTTACGAGTGAAATAAATTCCCGAGTATGAAGTACATAGTTTAAATGCAGATGAGACAGGGTTGTTCTTTAAATGTGAACCTGACATTCATTACATCTTCGCGTCAAAGACTGTCTAATGTTGAAAACGAACTTTTTTCGTGTGTTGGTAGTCTTAAAAGTTCTCTAACACGGGTCAATAAAAAACCGGTTCTTATCCAATTCACTGACGTATTATAAATGCATACATTTGACTTAAAACAAAGTTTGCTAGTTGAAGAACAGAAAAAAACATAATTGTTATTTTTTTTAATCATAATTACCGATTTAAGGATATTCATTCCTTTAAAAATGCTATTCTATTTAATATGTCATAAATTACACAAAAGGTAAATAAGACAAATGCTAAAGTGAAAGAAGATGTAATGGGATTTTTCTGTACTATTTAAATCACCTGAAAGTTTTCATATCTTATCTTTAAGATAAGAGTGTAGGTCGATACAATGACCTTGTCAGCAAATTCAATCTATCAGTAAGTCATATGCTGACTGACTTTTTTCATACTAATTGTTAGGCTATTATTTACACACTGAATTTTTCCGTTATTTCCCGATCATGACAAGGAGCACACGGCGGGTGTGGCCGGTCGGCAGGGGATGCTCACTACTCCATTGCGCCTTATCCCACCTCTGATGTTTTTGGAGGCCCGTGTTTGCTCTGCTCCTGATTTGTATTGTTTTCATGGACTTTGAGCTTGAGTGCTTTTCGTTATATCCATATTTCACTTTTAAAATGGACTCCATAAGAGCTTCACAAATGTAAGTTTTAATGAAAACAACATATATGTTAAACTCTAAAAACGCCTAAATTATCTGAATCAGCACATTTTGTTGACAGTCTTAACTTTATATTCACAATTGTATATGAAGAATTTTAAAAATGAAAACAATCTTATTAGCCATTTCATCTATTGCATTTTTTTGGGGGGGGGATGCTTATACAGAAAAAATAATTTAGGAATGTAAAAAAAATTTTTAATTGAATTAAAGAGTCTAAACTAGAAATTTTTGAGAAAGACATTTAAAAAAAACTTATCAGTGAACTTATCAGTGATGTCAATTTCCCCTTTCATTATCACCAGGCAGACAGCCATAGAACATATATCAGAGTCAGTGTTTGTGGGACTGTGTCGTAAAGTGGGGACCTCACAACTGGTAGCCATGAGGAGAGATATGATGGACATCAGTGAGATGATGAAAAATCACGTTAGTAAAGGTGACAACATCAGTATGATGTTGAGTGGAAGTCAAAGGGAAGGATTCAGACTGAAAGGATCAGATAAAGACATTATGTTTTGGCCAAATGATCACCGTGTGGTCTGGGATTTATCTCAGTATCAGTATTGCAACACACAGAATCAAACTTTGATCCTCTGTGACTGTTCTGAAAGTCCGCCAGGATTCGCTTTGTTATACTTACCGTCACCAAGCAAAGAACCAAGAATCCAGAGAGCTTGTATAAAAATGAAAAACAGACATTATATTTCTAGTTCTATATACAGACAGATTATGTGTTCTGCAGCACCACTTACATGTAGCTCCATTCAACATGGACCCTGTGAAAGTGGAATTTATATAACAATAGAATATGATATTGCAGACTGTTTTGTTTGTGACTTTTGGCCTCCATCTGCCTCCTCGTGGATACACAGATGTCACACATGGCCCCAGTCTGATGTTGTTGATGATTTAGTGCAAAATGGATGTCACTTTGTAGCAGTTGGACACAAGTTAGGAAGTCATGAAGACAGTGAATGGAGAATTTCTTTTTCACTGGCAGAACAAAAACTTGTGTGTGCAATGAACCACTGTCAATTCTTAACCTTTGCCTTGCTGAAATTGTTCTTAACAGAAATAATTAATAATGGACTACGTGATGATGATAAATTACTGTGTTCCTATCACATGAAGACAGTAGTTTTCTGGGTGATTCAACTCAACACAATACCTCACTGGTGTCCTCAAAATCTTCTTGGGTGTTTCTGGGTCTGTTTTAAACGCATCCTCAAATGGGTTTATGAGGGGATATGTCCTAACTTTTTCATTCCAGGAAACAACATGTTTCTGGGTAAAATTTATAGTGAAGCACAACATCAATTATTTGTTAGACTGTATGGGTTGTATGAGAAGGGTTTCGCATACCTGTTACAAAGTCCCTCCATAAGGATTTATATTATAAATGCCCTTCATATCCCCAGACTCTCCATCTGTACAGATGAACATAATCTGATTTCGGAGGCCGAGTTTGATGTAAATCTATTTCAAGAAATATATAGGCAAGACACACTACCTTCTTTGAATCTACAAGGATGTATGAGATATCTAAGTATTATAGAACAGACGATAGGTTCACCCCTCCTGACACAGTTTCAAGTCCTAATGCTGCAGAAACTTACAGCTAATGACCTGCAGAAAATTGCTTTTAATTTGCACACGAAAACTTACACACATGAAAACAAACTGAGGTACAGAGCTGACAAAATATGCCACATGCTGAAATTAGCAGCCAAGTTTGGTTTTCTTCCTGATATGCTGTATATAGTCATGTATTATTTCGAGACACTTAAATACATTGAAGCTTTATCTATTATAAAGATGATCAAGGTCAAGTTAGCAAAACCATTTGTGATGTTCTATAATGTAAATATAAAGATGTATTCTGAAGCTACATGTGGGCAGTCCTGGCCTACAAAGATGAGACAGGCTGTAGCATGGCATATCAAACTTGATAATAAAATCCATTACATTAGTGAATTGATACCGGAACAACAGTCTGCTCTACAGAATGGGCAGCCTGAAATATTTCTTCCACCCATGGTACTATTATACATGCTAGAGATCTTGTGCTACAGACATGTAGACACAATGAGATCACGAATAGCTCTAGATGATCTACAGACCCTAGTTCACTATGATAAGGGACAGTTTATACATGTACTATACAGAGACATATCGTGGCAGATTCTGGGGATCTGTCAACAGGTGACTGGGAACTTCCAGGCTGCTCTTTATTCATACCAAAAATCTTTAACACAAGAGCCTTACCACAAAATACAAACAGCTACAGAAATGAGAATAGCTGAAATTTTTAGATGTAATCCCTGTATTACTTAAATGTCAGACATTTGTAGAAGTTCTCCTGATAAAGTTTATTACGTACATATTCTCATATTAATTCTCATTGTATGTTATTTTTCTATGCTCGAGCTTTATACCCACACTTTCCAAGGAAAGGGTTTATTGTTATTACCCAGGTCGTACGTCTGTCTGTCACACTTTCTAAAAAAGAGGTTTATTGTAACAGTTATTACCTTGGCCGTCCGTATATCTGTCACAATTTCTTCTTCCTAAAAATCCTCTTTTATATTAAGCATAAACCAATTAAGGATATTCGATTCTCAGCCAGGAAGGATAACTCTTTAGTTTATTATGTAATTCAAAGAGTCTCAAAATGAAGCTTAAATATGACACCTTTTCATGCAACAATTTTCATTTTATGCATCTCAGTGTGATTCAAGGTTCTTTGAAGTTTTAGAAACAGTTTTTTAAAATGTTGATATTTTTACCCTGTAGAGGTTAATGTTAAAAATGTAATAATGTTAAAAATACGGATTTAAAGAAATCAACTTTTCCTTTAATTTAGCCTCAGATACCAATGCTTATTAGCTTGATATGAAATTAGAAATGATTTATGGTGTTTTGCAATGATAGGAAACACTTAATAAACTATGCATTATAAAATATTTGAAGCACACAAAAGTAAGTAACGTACTGTATAAGTTTAAAAATCATGCAATTTTCTTCATATGCCTGGATACCTATAGTTTTTTTTTATCTTAAAATGTTTTTTTTTTGGGGGGGGGGGATCAATTTCCTATAAGATAATGCATAGTAGGTGTGTTTATTTGCATTTCCTGAAAATGTTATTTGAGATTTACAAATTTTTCTTATATATTATGATTAACTTGAATGATGGAGTTTGAACAATTACTGTGGGTAAATTCACATTTACTTTGAGAATTCAGAGACATCATTGTGAGCATTTTCAATTACTCAGTGCCTAATTTTCAGAACCTGAGGATCGGACTACCTTAATCTTTTGCAATATTATAGGCGATGTGTTGTAGATGTGCAATAAAGTTTTTGATTTTTTTACGGTAATTTTACCCTTGGGGCCAAGCAGGGGTCAAAATGACGTTTTTTTTCCTACAAAAAAATCCTGGTTCCCTAAACTCCTACATATGCAGTAAGGTTTTCGATTTTTTTATTTTCACCCTGGGCTCAAATGGGGATCAAAAATTGTATTTTTCTACATAAACCTGCTCTCAAGAACCCTTCTTAGATTTTATGCAGTAGCCTAATCATCTTTTGAAAGATGATTGGTGGTGTAATGTAGATGTGCAGTAAGGTTTCCTATTTTTTATTTTGACCTTGGGTCGAAAAACAATGTTTTTCATTTAAAAAAAAAAACCTGTTCCTGAACTCCACTAACATTTTACTCAGAAACTAAATCATCTTTTGGAAGATGTTAGGGGTATCCTGTATATATATGCAATTAGGTTTCTGAATTTTCATTTTCCCCCTAGGGGTCAAATGGGGGTCAAAAATGATGTTTTTTAAAATAAATCTGCTTCCCTGAACTCCTCTTATATTTTATGCAGAAGCTAAATTATCCTTCGAAAGATGATTGGTGGTGTCGTGTTGATATGCAATAAGGTTTCAGAATTTTTAATATATTCGATCAGTGCATATTATCTATTCAAGATATATTACTAAAGTCAGGTACTCTTCACACAATTGCTCCGAAGAAAATAGTTCCATTCATGATCAGTAGATACAACATTACAACAAATGTTAAGAATAATGATGTATATTTAATTCGTTAAAGAAAACAAAATTAACGTTAAAAGATTTTAAGAAAATCACTTTTCCCCCAGAAAAGGAAATAAAAAATTTTCATATTCCTACGCTCGCTGCCTCCTCAGTCTTTTTCACGAAAATATGTAGGTCATCCTTCGATTGATAGTGATAAATCTTTTCACCAATTATATACCTGTCATGATTATTGTTCGTTAATTGCCGTATATTTTCTTTTGAGTGAGAATGTTAATCATTAACTATGTGTGTTTTTTTTCTCTTTTTTTTAAAATAACGGAATGGATATTATGGTTAAACACCTGCAATCGTAACTTCTCGGCAAAGCAACGAGCTCGTCGGAAAGGATCTTCGCACGTGTGCAAACCTAGTCTATTTGGTCTTGCAAGCATAGGTATGTGCACCGTTCGCTAGCGAAGCTTAGATCATGTAGAATGGGTATCAGTATTTGCTACGGACATGAGGAAGAACTATACACCAGTTTCATAACAAGTGCAGGTTTTTTACTCAAGCCCTATAGACTGGACTAGAGGAGCTGAGTTATCTAAAACGATGCTAGGTCATTGCACTACTCAGTTTATAAACACGAAAATATACTATTTTTGTAAATAAAAACATTTCTAGAAACAAAAATGAAGTTTATCTTCAAAACGTCTCTATATTCAAAGTCTATATAAAGTTTTAAATGTCGGATTTTATTCTATGACGAAGGAATGTTCAGTGACGCTCCACAGCCGCAACCGATCTCGCGCTTTACTTTGCGTTTAACAACGGCCGTCAATGCATCTCTAGACGAGTTCATTGATTACTCTTGTTGACCCATCTTTAACATATGCCTATACTTTGAGTGATAGTACTTTAATAGCACAAAATTAAAAAATAAATTAAAATCTATCCTTGATAGATCTATAGTTTTGCTATTTAAAAAATTGGGCTATCTTTGATCTTTGCTTGGACTTGTTTCGAATTTTTACAGAAGATTCTATCATTGGAAAGTTAGATGGTACACATGTAGCACAGGCCCATAGTACGCGGGATTTTTTCGGAGCCCTCCCCCCCCCCCTTTCACTTTGAAAACGTTGCTACAGGCCTGTAACATGCTATTTGGATTAAAATATTTCTGAAAATGAGTGAGCTGTTAAATACATCTTTAAAATTATACGGTTAATTATATTTAGTCTATGTTCTATGGGAAATTAAAACTATTTTTTAGGCATCTGCAACGTTGTGATAATAAGTCACTATACACGCATGTAACGTTATATATGTACATGCAGTTTTCTTAGTACATGCATATATTTTAATCAACAAAAGATGTTGAAACTCAGTAGCCTAAATATTATGTCATTTTAGGATATTTATGGCCATTGTATAGTTGACTTTCTACAGCTTGAGTATCTCTGACGTTTTATCAGTAAATAGTTTTTTTTAAATTAGAAATTATCTGAGCATAATGAAAATTCGAATAAATTAAAAGTCGAATATCTTGGATATGGGGTAACCCATATCTGTTCTTGTCATTTTCAGCCCGGGAGTCAAATATGGGTCGAAAAATGATGCGGGGTTTATAAATAGGAAATTCCTAACACCTTTTCAAAGAAAAAAATATGATTCACTTCTTAAATCTTGTTTGTGATATGACCGTTGAATAACTGGACTTCAAAATATTTGTCGGGAAAATTACGAATGGTGTGCCTTAAAATGTTACCTAGGGTATAGTGGGTTCTATCTATTTTTATGCAAACTTTAAAAACTATGAAGAAAAGTCGCTCTCATATGGGAAAACTGTCCTATATATAAAAGAACTATTATTTTGCCTTTTTGATGTGTGCATATTGTTACATAGACGAATAATATGAATAATTTTGAGAAAGAAAAGAATAAATCAAAGAAAATTTTGTTATGATTGAATATTAATTTTTCGATTTCTTATCTGTCAAGCCATAAGTATTTTTTCTCGAATTAATAGCCCTAAGACTTTAAATAAGAAATGTAATATACACAACTGTATGCATTTTTCAGACTTCGAATAATCATCATTCTTTACACATGCTGCTAAAGTAACAACGCTCTTAAAAAAATATATGAAAAATTTTTCAAAGTTTAATTATTCAATTAGATCTAAAAAGAAACAACAAAAAAAGAAAAACAAACGCAATTTTCAGAATGCAATCTCATAGTAAGTAGGTGTAAGGAGACATTTTTACCGGATTAAACAAACATAATCAAATTTATTAGTCCCCTACCGGTGAAATTTATTTCTTTCTGTTCTTATATCTATATCCAGGTTATACATTTGATTGGTATTTATGTTTTATTTATGTTTTATACATTGTATATTAAGCTAAAAAATAATCTATAGTTTTTCAAGCACCGCTGCATCTGGTAAAAGACTACCGCATTCATCAATTTTATTGACAGATTCAAAAGAGACATAACTCAATTTTCTATTTTTCCAAGAAAATTCAGTAATGTGCCTTTTCATTCATACTTATAGAAAAACGTTTCGTTTGATAAAAATACATTTCCCGTTAAAAAGGTATATTATGAATTTAACTTTTTGTAAAAATGTTTGGAATAACATTATTTAAAGTTGGGTATACGTATATATTTTAATCAACTTAAAGAGAACAACAATTTAAGAATCAGATAACATAATCTTGGGGGCTAAAGATATATTTTTTAGCTTTATCTAATATATAGAGGAGATTTTTTGGCGTTACAAAATCAAATATATACCTAGATATTTGCCTTTTTGGAACGTGTTGACACACTAAATCCAGAAATACATTGTATATATTTGTCTTTGTGTTGTTGCCATTAATATATTCATAATACTGTATTTTTTGGATTAAAAGCTTTATGCTTTTATATATCTTTATCCAGAATAAACACAGGATTTATGCCTTTGTCTTTGCGTTAACGATACTAGAATATCCAGAATACAAAATGGATATATGTCTCTGTGTTCCTTTTTGAAATATATCTATAATAAACATTGTAAGTATGACTTTATTTTCGTGTTATACCTAGCTAAACCCTTAGTACGCATGTATAAAAATTTAACCATATAGCATTTCATTTAAAAAATATAAAGATACTAGTAGATGTATAATGATTTTCCCATAAATCTGCAAAATCAACAGAAGACTCGATTGACCACAGTTAGTTACTATAAGTCTCTAGGTATTTTTGCACAAAATGAATTCAAGGGGAAGACAGCGATCTTTAACCGTTAT